GACCGCAACGCCGACCCCGACCTTTGGGCCAGTCCCCAAGCAAAGCCGTTCAAGGAGCTGAGCGCTTTCCTCCGAGATACGAAGATTCCCCCGCCTTTCGCCGTCCTCGAGAACGTGGGCGGCATGGAGAGGAAGGCGAGGAAGACTGGGGCGTGCCCGATGGAGTTTGCGCTGTGGGGCACAGCTGCAGCGCCGAATGGCGAAAAACTGAAGGTCGGTGCTCCGGGTAAGTTCCAGGGACTTGGGATTCCCGCACTTGCGGAAGCGCTTCTTCTTCGTCCTCGTCAGGGGGGACGTGCTCGCGGCGCAGCCGAACCTCTGGGACAAGATCAACGTCAACCTCGAGTCGATCAAGACGGACGCGCTGAGTCGTTGTCCCTACCACGTGAAGGAGTTTCTCCTGGAGAGCCCCTCTGACTATATGCCCGAGCGCATGCGCATGCAGCCCAGCACCAAGAGTCGCATGGACCCTGGAAGCGTCCAGAAGACGACCGCGCGCAGGTTGGCTGCTGGGCCCCCTAGCTACCGCTCGGCAAACGGCCATCCCTTTTCGCAGAATGGCCCGAGGTCTTGCTTGATCTACCTGCCTACGCGCGAGAGGGACGTGGTCGACGTGAACGCCTTGCTGCTGCAGAAGAAGGTTCCAGAGGCGTTCCAGCCCGTTGGCGGGAGGCCCTGCTGGATGGTGTGCGACGTCTCCCAGAACGTCTCCCAGGTGAGGTCGCCGACTTTGGGCGGGCGGCGCATGCCGACGTTCGTGACGGGCAGCAAGATGGTCTGTGTCCCAGACGGGGTCTACAAACAGTCGCGAGTGATCACTGTCCCCGAGGCCCTCCAGTTCCAGGGCTGGGACGCCGCCAACTTGAAGTGGTCGAACATTCCGGCCCGCGAGGCCTTCACGCTGATCGGCAACATGATTGCCATCCCCGTCATCGGGGCCGTGGTCGCCAGCGTCGTGTACGCCGCGAAGTTCGACGACGTCAACGTCGACGATGTTGATGTGACATCGTACGACGACACCGACAGTGACATCATCGACATCGATGAGGGGGCGGCGGCTGAGTAGGCGCAGCAGGGGCGCCTGCTCTGGCCGCCAGACTGAACCCAGGCCCCCGTCCTGGGCGCCGCGGGCGCGCCAGCGGGGGCGGGAGGGCAGGCAGAGGGGGCGCAGTAGGGGGGAGGGCAGGGGGGGGCGGGGCAGGAGCTCGGATGAAGGTCAAAGCTAGGGCGGGATTAGAGGCAGGGGGTGGGCCAGGCAAGAGGGGTGACCCGTCGCTGTCTGAAGATCCAGGCGGGTTTTGAGGACTGGGGTGCGCTTGGCTTCCAGAGGCCTGCCTGCATAGAGAAGAATCGATGTAAGATATTCCAAACAAATCCCGAGGTGCTCCCCGTGTCCCCTGAGCCTAGCCTAGCCTCGGTTTGGGCGGCTTGCGGGGGCGGCGCAAGCAGACCGAGAGATCGCGAGATATCGGCGGACCGCGATCTTGGGAACATGCTGCTCACACCTCTGAGGCGACGCCACTGCCTTGGGCACGGGGCCCCGACCTGACCCGACCAGCGAACGAATGAGTGAGTGATCCGGTGATGGCGGCGCCCCAGGTCAGCTCTCGGTCAGGCGCATCTAACTGTGTAAAAAATCCCAAACAAAAAACATCCTGGGCCCTGGCCTCTGGGACCATTCCGACATCCTGGGGGGGCCCGGCCCAGGCAGTCGCCCTGCCCTTTCGTCCTTGCCTCTTCCTCCTCCTGCTCATGACTCATGCGGCTGCTGCTCCCCCCCCTCCTCCTCCCCCAGCCCCCCCCCCCCCCTCCCCCCCCCCCTCTCCTCATCATCTTCATTTTCCTCCTCCCAGGCCGAGAGCGTCAAAGACTCGCCCGCTGCATCGTCGTCGTCGTCGTCGTCGTCGTCGTCGTCGTCGTCGTCCTCGGGGCCGTCGACTGCCTCGACGCCTGCTGGCCCGATGCCTCGATGCTCTGAGGCGGGCCGCTGGCTGAGCCCAGCAGGGCCCCCCAGGAGGGGGCCGCTGAGGGGAGGGGGGGGGGGGGCATTGGAGGGTAGTGGGGCGACAATGACAATAGTGATCTGGCACGAACAGGAGCGGGAGATACTGAGATAATACAAGGGAGGAGGGGGGGCAGGGGGGCGTCAGAGGGGGGCGCAGCAGCAGCAGCAGCAATAAGATCAGCAGCAGTATCGGCTTCTCAGAGAAGCAGCAGCAGCAACGAAGGCCCCATGCTGCCAAGAGCCCTCTCCTCTTCCCCCTCGGGGCGTCCGATCGACGGCGGGCGCCGCCGCTGCAGGGGCGCTGGGGCGCCATCGCTCTGGCCTGGGCGCGCTTCGAGGGGGGTGTTCTCTGGGCGACATATGCACATGTGCAATTCCCATGTCCGGCCCCCGTCCTTCCCTCTTCTCCCGTTCTCGCGCGCTGGCTCGAGCATTTGCCACTCACTGTGCCCCGCCCTATTCCTGCAGGCGCTGCTCCAGCGAGCTCCAGCCAGGATGGCGTCTGTGGCATCCGAGGGTTCCTCAGGCGCCATGGAGGGCGCAGATCAGGAGGGCGAGGACATCATCGACGTCGACGAGGAGGCCAGCGAGGGCGGCGAGGGCGGCGCCGTCGACGCCGACGCCGAGTCGAAAGCTGGCGAGGATGAGGAGGCCGTCAAGAACATCTCCTTGAAGTGCTTGGGGTGCAAGCTGACGTGCGAGAGCCCCTGCCCCATCGGCGCGAAGCTGGGGGCAAAGCGCCTCGTGCACTGGGGCAAGTGCGGGAAGAAGAAGCTCAGGATGGAGGGCCAAAACGTGAAGGTCAGGCTGCCGTCAGGCAGCTGGTGCAGCATCTGCGCGAGCGTGCACAGGTCCAGCTTCAAGAAGAGTTGGGGCAAAATCCAGAACGTGCCTGACAAGATAAAGGACCCGAATCATAAGACGTCTTGGAAGAAGAACAGGGGCGAGTTCGTTCACCGCAAGGGCGGGGGCTCGATCAGAGTCCGGCCGCTCAGGCCGCAGGCCCACTACGACGAGGAGGTGTGCAACGACCTGGAGGGCCCAGAGAAGGAGTTGTGGGAGCTGCCAGCCTACGAGAAGGAGTTCGGCACAGGAAAGCAAACGGGTGCCATGGTCGAGACTGCGAAGAATTGCAAGGGGAAGCTCGTGAAGGGGGTCTTCATCTTGACGGGCAAGCAGGGCGTCTACAAGGTGGAGAGCGGGCGGAGGCAGGCGGCCGTTTCGCGGACCGTGCACGAGGACGGGAGCATGGTTCTGAACGAAGAGCAGGTGGAGGAGGCCGTTGCGGCGGCCCACGCAGCCCCGCCCGCCTCCAGCAGCGCCATGAACATAGAGCAGACCCGTGCAAAGGCCGAGGCGGCGAAGGCGGCGGCCGCGCTGGTCGCGCCACCGGCTGAGCCTGGCGACGACGAGGGCGACAGCGACGCAGAGGAGAGCGGCTCGGGCAGCAGCAACGCCACCGAGGACTCCGAGGCCCCCGAGGGCGACGACGACAGCGACGACGAGCCGGTGCTGCCTCCCAAGAAGGTCGCCAGGGCGGCGCCGTCGTCGGCGGGGGTGACGCCGATCAAGGGGAACTCGAGCTCCTGCGGTGGCGCCACCCCTTCGGTGAAGAGCGCCCCCAAGAGCAAGGCGCCGACGGCCCCGCAAGGTGGCGGCGGGCCCGCGATAGCGCCCAAGGCCGCGAAGCGGGCGGCGGCCGCGCCGTCGACGACCCACGACAAGGCGTCGGCAGTTGCGAAGGAGTTCGAGGAGATCGGCGCTCAGTTCACCATCGGGAACTTTGACGGCGCGTCTGGGAGGGCGCTCCAGCGTTTGACGAAGGACTGGGGGTCTAACTTCACACGATTTCCGCCTCCTCCTCCTCCTCCTCCTCCTCCTCATCCTCATCCTCTCGCAGGTTGTGATTCTGGTCGCGGTCGTGGTCGTCGTGATCGTCGCATTCGTCGCATTTGTCGTCCGTATTTGTCCTCGTCGTCGTCGTCGTCGTCGTCGCCGTCCGAATCGTCGTCGCTCGAGTCGGAGTCGCCGCCGTTGCTGTCGCCCCCCCTGCCGCCCTCGACAGGAGTGGAAGGACAAGAGGGCCGTCGCGGTGAAGCTGGCCCAGGCCATCGAGAAGCTGCGCCACCTGGGCCAAGCGGAGGAGCCAGAGCGGCGTGGTCTCAGATAGATTCCCTCGCTGGTCCTTCGATCGGGGCGTGGGTGCGACGCGGGCTCGCCCCCCGTCGATCGAGGTTCGATCGGGGGCGAACCCGAATCGCGCCGCGCCGCCCTGGCCCAGGGGGCCCACCGGGGGAATCCACGGGGCCAACTCAGGGCCCCGTGCTGTCCGGGCTCAAGCTGGCCCGCGGGTTCGTTGAGCCCGCCGTCGCCTTCCTGAAGATCACTGCGCCGTCCATTCCTAAGGCCACCGCCAGTGCGAGTGCCATGTGGGCGGCGTGGAAAGAGGTGGAGATCAACGGAGTCAGGCCCTCCACTGCCAGCGCTGCCGCCATCGCCCTGAAGCGCGTCCATGAGGTCTTGGTGCGCAAGAAGGACGTGGGGGCCGTCGTGAGCGAGGCCCTGGCAATCCTCGACACCGAAGCCGGACTGGGCGATGCCGTCATCAACGTCGCCGTGGTCAAGCACGACGCGACTCTCGTGAAGAAAGTGCAGTGCAAGGGAGTGGGTGCGATTTGCTCCAAGATCGTCCGGGCCGCCGTCTTTGACAAGAAGGATGATGACAGCATCTACGAGGCAGAGGTCGACCTTGGCTGGGCTCAAGATGGTTTATGAGTTCATGTCGCGGTCAGCTTGCACGTGCGACGAGGACCTCAAGGACGCCGTCGCCACCGTGACGGACCTGCTGGACTACCGCGACTGTGACCCGCAGTACCTGGAGGAGAAGATCAAGATGTGGAATGCGTCGGAGCACCGCCTGATCTCTGATGTCAAGATCACCAGCCTGGGCAGGATCATGGGAAGCGCGCTGGCGGCCATCTCGAAGGCGGGACAGGGGTCGCATCCACGTTGAGCGCGCCCTGGACTGAAGATGTTCCTTTCCCGCCTCTTGAGGTTTTGGCCGTTTCGACGGGGGGGCAAGGAGCGCGCCCCCCTCCCCTCGGGCAGGGCGCGCTCGGCGGTTTGCGAAGCCCTTCCAGCAGGCGCGCTGGCCAACTCCAAGATCCTTCGGGCTGTCAAGGGGCTGGCTGCTCGTGCGAATTCGACCTCCCCGAAGCTGGCGTCCATGGTGCAGCCCAAAGAAGACCCCCCCGATCGATCCGGACTTCGGCTTCGAGATCCAAGCAAAAGCGATAAAAGAGATCGTGTCCGAGCTGGGCGAGGCCTGCCGCTCTGCGAACGAGACCTCGCGCATGAACCTGGAGATGCAGAAGTACCTGAAGGGCGTGGTCAGCGGGCTGACGGCGTGGTTGGAATCCGCGGCCGCGTACCTCATCTACCGCTCGGGAGTGCTGATCGAGGGCGAGAGCGAGCTCAAGAGCGTCGTTGACCAGATCGGAGAGTACAGAGCCCTGCATCAGACATTCCGCCTGGCGCTGATCACTCACAAGATCCCCTTTGAGCCTGACCCCACGATTGACCTCGAGAGTCTTGCAGAGATCGTCGACACCATGGTGAAGGCGAAAGTGGCCGACTCCCAGCAGGCGCAGCAGGCGCGCATCGCTCTCTGCAGAAATCTCGGCGAAACGTTTGGAGAGGAAGGCGTGACCATTCTCAAGGACATGTTCAACAAAGCTGGGGTGATCTTCAACAGCGCGGAGTTGAGCGTCGTGGAGTCCACGAGCAAGGCTGAGGAGGGGAAGAGCAATGGGGAAGGTGCCCTTCGGCGCGTTGAGTCTCTCGCCGACGCCATCGTGGAGGCGGCCGCTCCAGTGGTGGACGATGCCAAGAGTTACCTCGATGACCTGGCGCAGCGAATGTCGACCGACGCCCTGCCGATCTCACATATGGACGTCGCCAAGTTCCTGGGCGATGGTGACGAGCTCGTCGCGAAGAAGCTGGGGAGTTTCAATCTGGCCAGCGGCATGACCGAGTACGACAACGTCTTGGGGGCGCTGCAGGCGCTCAACTCCCTCGGAGAGGAGTCGCAGGAGAGGCGGACCATGCGCCTGAAGGTGATGGCGTGCGTCAAGATCCTCCCCGCCATGGTCAGCGCCTGTGCTTTCGAGACCAGTGCCGCCGAGCTCAAGGCGCAGCCGGGCGTCGAGGAGAAGGGGAATATCTTCCTGAAGACGGCCAGCGCGGCGTTGAAGGACATGGAGGCTGGCGTGCAGGCTCTTGGCGCCAAGCCCGACGGCGGCGACGTCACGGCGGAGTTTGAGCAGATAACCCGGGGCGCAGCAGTCTACAAGGCGAAGATGGTGCAGGAGTCCACCGGCAAGCTGGGGGAGCTCGCGACAAAGCTCGGTAGCGTGGGGGGCGAGATGTGCAGCAAGCTCGTCGACCTGAAGGACGTGAAAAAGCAGCTCGCAGAGGAGAGCATGAGGAGCGTCCTCGACTTTGAGGGCCGGGCCGAACTCAAGGATAACATCAAGCTGCTCAACTCGCCGGACGGGGTGCAGCGCCTGCAGAGCTGGACGACGACCCTCAAGGGGGCGCCCGTGGTCACGGGCGAGGCGGAGAAGCGGAGCGCGCGCTTGGTCGAGGTTCGGTCGAAGGCGAGGCTCCTCATCGCCCTCGGGGGCGCCCTCGTCGTCATCGCCGAGAAGGCGGAGGTGAAGGCGCCCGCCTACATCCAGGACCTCAAGGTCAAGCTGAAGCTGTGGTCGCAGGTGCCGAAGACGGCGCAGAGCAAGTTGGAGCAGCTTGTGAAGGCCGACGTGGCCGAGTAGGTAGGCCTCCCCTCCTCTTTCCTCTGCCTCCTATTCCCTCCCCCTCTTCCCTTTTCCCTCCGGCATCCTCCTTGATCCCTCTTCGCTCCCCTGATTCATCCTTGCCCTCGTCCTCCTCGTCGCCCCAAGGCCCTTATCCTCCTTATCCTCCTCCTCCACCTCCTCCTCCTCATCCTCCTTGCCCTTTTCCTCCTCCTCTCCCCCCCGGGGCCCCCCCGCGCCGCCTGCCCAGCGAGGCGGCCGCCGGCGCAAGGCCGGCTTGGGAGCGCGCCGCGGGGGCGGTTGCGCAGGGCGCAGGCTTGGATTGAGAAAAACATGTGAAATGCGGGGGGGCGCGGGGGCGGGGACGGAGTAGGAGGAGGGGGAACTCTCGGGGGGGAGGGGGAGGGGGGGGGAGGGAGAAGGCCCGTTGTCGTCGTCGTCGTCGTCGTCGTCGTCGTCGTAGCTGTCTCGGTCCTAGCCCCCATCAGTTTTTTCGGGCCCGTGGGGGACTGGCTTGGACGGGGTCGCCGACGTCGCCGCTGTCGCCGCCGTCGTTCACTATGCCGGCGGTATCTGAGGAGGGGGGCGAGGGCAAGGGCGGCATGGGCAAAGGCACAGGGGAAAAGGGCAAGAGCAAGGTGAGAGACGGCCCATACGAGGGCAAGGCAACTGCAAGGGTGGCAAGGGCAAGAACGAGGGCCGCAACAATGAGTGGCAGGGGTGGTGTTTTGGGCAGGTGACTCGTGGACGGCAAAAGAGGGAAAGGAGGAGGGGAAGGAGGGGGAGGAGGAGGTGGAGGAGGAGGGGGAGGAGGAGGGAAAGGCTTCTCTCCCCAACCTTTCCCTTTCTCTTGCCACTCTCCTCACTCGTTCGTCCCTGTGCTGTTCCTCCTCCCTCTTTCCTCTCCTCTCCCGCGCCTCTCTCCTCTCCTCCTCTCCTCTTCCCGTCCCTTTCCTCGCCCCTTCCTCTCCTCCTCCCCTCCCTTTTCTCGCCTTTCCTCGCTTTCCTTCCCCTCCCTCTCCTCCTCCCGTTCCTCCTCCTCCTCCTCCTCATTTTGCTTATGCCTCCCCTACTTTTGCTATCTATTGAACAATTACCAATACCACATGCAAGCAATTGAACCGACTTAGCACCAGCGTCCTCCCGTGGTCTTTCGGGCCCTTTAGCGTGCAGTTAGTGTGCCGACAGGGTCTGTTAAATTTCTGAGTTTCCTTGAACGAGTTTCAGGGTTCCAGGGCGCGGTTTGGGCCTTGACAGGCCTAAAAGGGAAAAGGCTCAGTTAACATATGGGCCTGCCAAACCATCTTAGCCCGCTGTAGGGCGGGGGCCATGGCTTCGCGGGTCATGGGTTCACCATGGAGGGCCAATTTAGCCCTAACGTTAGCACCTTTAGTGGCTGGCGACTTAAATGACAGGGCTTGGCGGCGTAGCGACAGCAGCTCACGATCATCAGCTCCGTTGACTTCAACTCCACACTGCGAACCCAACTTGATTCCTGTCGTGAATATCCGTCCAAGTCTTTCGTCAGCCTTCCGCATTGATCTGGGCCTAGCAGACTTAGCCAAGCGCTGGCGTGCTTTACGAGTGCGATTGAGACGCTTCCTGCCCGTAGAGGGGTGGGCACGTCTGCGGGCAGCAGCATAGTCCGTCCCGAGGTGCGCAACCGCAGGGCGCACCTTCTGTCGATCCAGTCCTATCTGTCCTGCCACATCTTGACCGAATAGTGAATCATTTGACACGATCGCCACCTTATCATTGAGGGTGGCTTCCAGTGACTGAGACACTCTGAAGGAATCTCGGCCTGCCTGAACGGCCACACCTAGTGCCACATCGCGGTGAACACCCGGAACGTGACCTCCCGTGTCGTCAATGTAGATCATGAGATCGATCGCGGGGTTCCGCGCCCAAAACTGATCATACTCCGTAACCGTGAAGGCACGCGCCGCTACATCGGCGTAAGCGCACCCCGCAGGGAGGCCGTACTTGGCGTGGAGCACGGTGGCGCTGTGGTGCAGGCCGAGGCGTGTGATGCGCGGCCCCCTCCAGGTATTGCGCAAAAGCTTCATCGCAGGCAACGGAATCCCACAGGTAATCATTATATCCCGAAGGGTATCGAGCGGTATACTCTCGTAGATTTTGCTGTAGTCCATCAGGAGCAGCACGCTGTGGTGGTCGTCGGCCGTGGCTGCCTCCCCACGGGCAGCCTGAAGCCAAGATAAGTCCAACGCGCTCCTGCCAGCAATCGCACCCCAGTATCGTCGGTTGAGCGTGTCATGCATTAGGCCAAGGGAATCACGTCGTAACCTCTGTCACAGGCGATGGGCACCTGCATGGGGAATGACCAAGCGATGGCCTGAGTCAGGCTTCGCCAACATCGGCGTGACAATGGAACAAAGTTGCCTTGGTAGAAGGCCTACGCGCTCGCAGGCCTGGTACAGCGTGGCCAACAATTCGAGCGCATGGTCAGGTAGGAGCGAGAAATGTCGGGGATGAATGCGGTCCACACTGGCCGCAGTCGTGTGTGGGAAAGTCATAGATGCTTCTCTCAGCTGTGCTGCCGTCACTCGGGGTAGTGCCGATCTGTCAGGTACCCAGGCAGGCAACGGAGAGTCAGAGGCATGCCACAAACGACGATATTTGTCAACTTCAGCTGCTACTACATCATATGGATGAGCAGACTTGCCATTCATAGTTGCAACCACTGTTGGACGCGGTGCATCAGGAACACGAGTCGCACGGTGGAGGCCACGACCCCCATTGGCTGAGGCGGTATCACACCAGCCCTGCCACCTCTGCCATGACTCCCGTTGGTCCGCCGTCTGGCTATCGTGAACCTGCTTGGCAATATCATCACGCCGTTCAGCAAGGACTGTAGCTGCTGTCCTTGCCTCGGGCCGCATGGCCTGGAATGCGCCATCACAGGAGGCAGCCTCATCGCCACGCAGGCCCGCTGGGGCGTGGGCGGAGGCAGCGGCCTCGATGCCGATATCCTCCAACTGATATCGGTGATCGTGGCACCGTGGTGCTATGTCACCAGCCAGGTAGGGGGCATCGACCGCCCCCCCGCCGGGGGCCCCTACCTGGTTAGCCGCGCGGGGGAGGGGCCCCCTCTGACCACGAAAGGCGGGCCTACCCGTCGGTGGCCTGTCGCGCGGGAGTGACGCCACTCCAGGGCTCGCACGATCAATTACTGGACCACCATCTGGCTCCTGCTCGTACTATTGGCCTGTGGCTGGCGCACACGTGGCTGTAGGGGCGGATCATCGCGGGGCTCCCCTGCAGCCATGGCACAGACCCTATCCACCATGATTCGGCCGTCGCGGACAGCGTTGTCAAGGTCATCGTTGAGGCCTCGACCGTGATACTGCTCTACAAAAAAGGCACCAAGCTCCGCCTGGAGTGCGACCACTGGTGTGCTGGGTTCCTGGGGCAACTTAGCAAAATTGGCCAGGGCCTGGTCTAGCCACATCCATCCATACGCAATGGCCGTCGCCTCCGAGGGAGGTAGCGGTCGGTGGTGGTGGTCAACCCATCGCGGCTTCGGCGGAGCACCCCCACGTAGTACTGGCTCGCTCACTGCTGGGAAGGATGTGGACCTCAACCTCCGCTGTAGCGGCGAAAGTAGCCCAAAGCCTGGGTGAGGAGCCTCCACGCCACACGTAGGTCACCATCACGGCAAGCCTCCTCCGCTGCTTGAACCCGGTGGGCAGCGACGGCCCAGCATGGCCCAGGCTGCCGAGGGCCACAGACACAGCGTGTATCCAATTTGACACCCACTGCATACGTCAGGTACTGCTGGCGTAATCCTTTGTCCGTCAATCCAAGCACCGTTGGCCTGTGCGGCCGCTTTGGCCAAGCAGTATCTACCATGCCATAGTCAACCAGATGGCGTGCCACTGCATTGGCCGCAAAGAAAGCAATCGTACGACTCGTGGTCGGCGAAATGCACGTAGGTAGTGGGGGGAAGGCAATCGTGACTTGCGCCTCCCTCGTGAAACCTGCCTCCTCGACCTGGCGGGGTGTGGCATTCCAGCCTGCAGCAATCAGCGCGGGTTGTCGAAGCGAGGCAATACGATGACCAACCTGAGCCAATATGCTGGTCAGCCTGATCAGGTCCGCGGAGGCCGAGGTGTGTTCGGGCCAGCACAGCAACACCCTGCATCGGCGTCGTCGAGCGTGGCGGTAAACTGGGAGAAAGAAGCACCTGCCAACCGCATTTGCCAGCCCAGGCAGTAAACTCATCTTTCTGGTCGGCTGTGATCCCGACCTCCTGGGCCACGAAAGCGAGGGCCGTAGTCTGCTGAATCCTCTCCTTCAATGTGCGAAGGCCACGGTTGTCATTGAAGGACTCGATGCGTAGCGTAGCCCGTGGCTCAGGCGTAGGTGGTTGGCGTGCACGCCCACGGTGGACTGGTAAACATGTTACAACAACAGGTTGCGGGTCAAACTCGAGACTTCTTGGTCTTGTGAAGGCCTGCAATGAGCTCGTTGAAGGTGGCCTCGAACTGGACCTGGTCAGTGGAGCTAGCGGTGGAGCAGGCGAGGTCGTAGAAACTCGTGGTCTCCTCGGCGGTGAGCTGACGCTCGGCCAGGCGTGGGACACCACGACGTGAAGCCCGATCATCACTAACATCAGCAGCTTCAGCAGTGTCCATGGCAGCACCTGACTCTTCTTCATCTTCATCGTCTGAGTCAGCGACGGGGACGGCGGCCGCGAAGGTCTTGCCGACCTGGGCCTCGAGCGAGGAGAAGAGCACAGCAGCCTGGTCACCCAAACCTTTGACGAGCTCCTGGGCCTGCGGTGGGGGCTCAGCGTGGTTGAACTTGAACGGGTGGCCCATCGCCTTCGCGGGGGCCACCGCCTTCGCCGTGGCCGCGAACTCCTCCTCGAGGGTCGCGATCTCCACGGTCTTGGCGGCGATGACAGCACTCTTGTTCTCCAGAGCCGTCTGGATGTGCTGGAGCTGCGTCTGCAACTTGTCGCGGTCTTGGGTGAGCTGCTTGAGCATGTTCTTCGC